GTTAGAAACAGGCCTGGCCTGGGACCAACACATTTGGATGGATTTTAGTCTTTATGAATGTTTCAGAACAGTCTTATTGGTGCATAGGTTGCTGATTGAATTCTGTCTATATAGAACCAAAGAACGGACTCTACTTCATTGGAAATCTGGCCATAATCTTAGGGTTATCCAATAACAATGAGGGATTTCTGTTAAAGTCACAAAACATACTCTTTCTAGCTAGTACAATGATTTAGAGGCATTGATCTGCTGCCCAATTGTATAATTGTTTCTCCAAATCCGACATCTGTAAATCAATGGGGCCTGTGTACAGGCAATATCCAGTTGTTGTTTGGTCATCAGTCTGAGATGTAAATACCATGTAGATAAAAATACATCTGCTTGTTTGTGTACGATGTTGAAACATAGAACAAGCCAGAGGCAAAATATAAAATACTCTCTTAGACAAAAGCTGACCCATATAGAAACACGTTTTAATGCTACGCTTCAGTCAAAACTGTTCGCTGCTCTGGCACCCCAATGGTGGAACAAGCTCCCTCACGACGCCAGGACAGCGGAGTCACTCACCACCTTCCGGAGACATTTGAAACCCCACCTCTTTAAGGAATACCTGGGATAGGATAAAGTAATCATTCTACCCCCCCCTTACCCCAACCCCCCCCCCCCCCCCCCCCCCCAAAAACAAAAACAAAACAACAACAACAACAACAACAACATTGTAAAGTGGTTATCCCACTGGCTATAAGGTGAATGCACCTATTTGTAAGTCGCTCTGGATAAGAGCGTCTGCTAAATGACGTAAATGTAAATGTAAATGTATATACTTGAAAAGCCTATTCTGACGAGGAACCTTTGTTTTTGGTCCACTGCCCACTGGGCCTGCAATATGTTTAACACAGAAAATGACTGAGGAAGAACTGTCACAGTCAACCTAAGGTATGCCATCCTTTATTACCTCAGGGGAAACTCTTTTCACTTCAAATGAGAACATATGTATTTCATGCAGATGGGATTATGTTGGATTGACGTCAGAGGGAAGTTGGTTAGAGTGAAACCATTTTCACGAGACTTCGTCAGCTCTTTATTGGAAAATATAGGCTATAGCACAATCTAACACGGTCAGCGTTTTGCTGTGAGGGTAGAATGACATAAACCCTTGACAATGAGTCAATGAAAGCACACAGACCTACAGTACCTACCTCAATGAGGAAGAGTCTCTGCATGGGGCAGCCATCTTGGGGATTATTAACACCATGCCAGGAAGACAGCAGCACCTTGTAGAGCTGCCTTGATTCATCAGAGTGTTAGGAGGATGGTGAATGTGAACAGCCAACCTGGTATGCATAGAGAGAGTCACTTCTCAGTAGCATTTAATACAGGTTGGGATTGTGCGTTAAAACCGTCTAGCAATTGATACCATACAAAAATGGCTATCGTAGGAAAATGTCCAATTGTCGCTTATGTGAAAAGAGGTAGAGCAGAAATAGTAGATTTAATCTGTTTCCCTGGTCTGATAGTGTTGCATGCCTTCTCCAACAGATATTGGTATTCAATATCTGGTGTCCAATAAAATATTGACATGCTTCATGTCCATAAATCCACATATACGGCCTTGTACTGTATATGTATGCAAATACATGAGAGATGAAGATAGCGTTTTATTTTAATCAAAACAAAGAAACCAACGAGCCACACCCCCGTCAAAGTTGCCCATCCCTGTTCTAGAACATACTTTCATGGCTGAGCAGGAATAAGAACAAAGCCTCTTACAGTAGCTTCCCATTTAGATCTATTAACATTTGAAGAAGAGCGTGGGAAGACTATCATTGTCTTTGTGGATAAGTCAGGGGCAATTAACCATGAGGCTAACTGAGATGTTGTTGAGGAAGAGATAGATAAAGAGTAAGTGTCAGCCCCATAAAACAACAGTCATTCCTTCTGTATGTGAATGGAATTCAAATTCCTCTTTCTTAAATGTAATTATATGGGCTAATTATGCCAGTGTCAGGCAGGAAGCAGCCCTGGTAGAAATGAATGCCATGTCTTCCCCCTGGAGATGTGGTACCCTGTTAAACCCACCGAGACACAGCGCGCTGCTGGGTATGTTATCTATCTAATGAGGTCCATAGGGCTTTAGACCTGACACGGCATGGGAATAACACTGTGTGCATGGATCTCCCATGATGACACTGCATGGCAGTGTGTTGTGTAATCCGTAATGGAGTTTAGCATTAACCGCCTCCAATGAATTGTCAGAGTGGGATTAATACTCACACAATACTGGGTGTGAATGTTAAAGTATGGCCCTACTGTTGTGATTCTGTGTGTTGTCTCAAAGGAGGGAGGCAGTGGGTGAAGTCCTTCCTCTAATCCTCTTCAGCAGTCCTCTCTTCCTTCCCTCTCTCCACCTCCTCAAAATTGTCACAGGGAGCGAGGAAAGCGTTAGAGGAGAACATCTGAGGAGAGGAACCTCCATTGCTCTCCTCGCTTCCCTATGACAATTTTGCGAAAGAGTCAAGGAGAGGGGAAATACTATTGAGATTCAACCAGCAGTGTCTCATTGGATTCCTGCCTAAAGTGTCAGCCTGTGAGTGGGGAACCCTGTTCCCTGGTGCACTCATGCGATCTGTGTCTCCTTCAACAGTACAATTCAACTGTGAGCTCTTGCCCTGTTACAGCCTATCACGTTCTTGCTGCACTGTTGCACTATACAGAAAATCCTCTACACACTCATTATCTGTATACATCCTAAGACAAGACCCTATAGCTTTTTATTTTGCGTTTTTTACATTTAGTAGATGCTCTTATACAGAATGACTTACAGGAGCAATTAAGGTAAAGTGCCTTGCTCAAGGACACATGGACAGTTTTTCATCTAGTCGGCTCAGGGATTTGAACCAGCAACCTTTCGGTTACTGGCCCAACGCTCTTAACCGAAGACTCCAGCCACCCGAGTCATAGACTGTTTTCTCTGCTACCGCACGGCAAGCATTACCGATGGAACCAACAGGACCCTGAACAGCTTCTACCCCCAAGCCATAAGACTGCTAAATAGCTAGCCGGACTATCTGCATTGAACACTTTTGCACTAACACTTTTGACTCATCACATACGCTGCTGCTACTGTTTATTATCTATCCTGTTGCCTAGTCACTTTACCCCTACCTATGTTTACATATCTACCTCAATTATCTCGTACCTCTGCACATTGACTCAGTACTGTTACTCCGTGTATATAGCCAAGTTATTGTTACATATTGTGTATTTATTCCTTGTGTTATAATTGTTCTATTTTTCTCTCTGCATTGTTGGGAAGGGACTGTAATTAAGCATTTCACTGTTAGTCTACACCTGTTGTTTACGAAGCATGTGACAAATAAAATGAGATTTTTGTATTTGATTTATGTGTAGGTGAAGCTAGAATATCATGTTTTATGCAGTATATAGGCTATGAGTAAGTGAAGTGTTTCTGTCTGCCTATCAGGTGGTTTCCTGAAGATCAGGGGAATTCGCCTCCAGTAGTCCCACACTAGCAACGGTGGAAGGATTTCTCTCTACCTCTCTCTCTCGGCTGTTGTCCGACTCCATTAGCCTTGTTACTGAACGATCAATGCTGATGAGAGCGCACTGACTCCTCCAGAAGAGAATAGAAATGTGCTTAGCTCCCACTTAGCACGAATAACATTTGAAACCCGATGAGCCGTGCATCTCATACGCTGTTTAAATCACTTAAGCGCTGTAGGAAGAGGCAGAGAGAAAGATAATTACAGAGAGATAGAAGGAAGAGATACTAAGAGAACGACAGCCCGGCTTGTTTTGTCTAACTTTCTTCTGCAGGATTAGTTTTTACTTCCCTGTCATGTGGTCATCAGCAAATGCATATGGGGTGGTCTGTTCTTCAATGTACTTGAAGCAATGTATTTGCTGCCGTATGTATAGATTCTAAACTGTACGCAAAGGATCTACGCTCTTGTTGTCCTGTTTCTTTGTTTCTTTATATCTGAGTCTACGTCTCTGCTTCTGTCTGTGGTTCTTCCTATCTTTTTCTGTCTGTCTGTTTTAACATGGTCAGTATGTCCTTGATCTAATCTGTGTGTGTTTGTCTGCCTCTGTCATAATGCTCTGTGTCTCAATGATTCATATTTTGTCTGATGAAGATGAAGTATGAAAACTCCTGAGCTACTGCTCACTTTCTCATGCCACTAGCATCACCAGTTTATGCTGTTTCCAGTATTTACACATTTATGATAGGGCTGGGAATTGCCAGGGACCTCATGATATGATATTATCACGATACTTAGGTGGCGATACGACATGTATTGCGATTCTCACAATTCTATATATCAATACTGTGATTTTATTGTGATTCGATGTTCCAAACATGCTGTATTGCTCACCATATGTCTGCTGCAGAGGGACAAGAGAGAGCTATGAGAATGAGTTTTGATCAGTCATGGAAATAAAAGTGCTTAAAGTAAATTGGCCCCCTATTTAAAAAGAAGATGGAGAACAAGCTATGAAGAAGAAATACTGGAGTTCTGGTGCAGGTTCTGCAAACTAGCGCAAAAATAATATTGCAATATTGTAAAAACGATACGATAGCCTATATCGTCAAAAATAATATCCCGATATTGTATAGATTTTTTCCCCCATAATTGACTCTGTCATACAGTATATTAGTGTTCACGTTTTCAGACATCTGATTTGTATAATCCAGTTTTAAATGGCTACTTACTGTATGTTTACGTTTTGAAAGAGCAGTGGCATCCATACACACCAGTTCACAGCTACCATGAACTATGTAACCCTACAGTGATAGAAAAACAGACAGTTTAGTTATCTTAGTTATTTAGGGATATGCTACACAAAATACCATATAATCATGTAATCAATCATATAGTCAATCATATAAACTGTGATTGCACTGTGTTGCTTTCCATGCTAAATAATCCCATTACCTTTTCCTCAGGATTTGATGTGCTTTGAGTTGACGACACATAATGCTGCTGAACCTGTGTAGTGTTAAGGTCAGTGTCCTCCTCGCTCTGTGCCGTCACCATTACCCATCAGCCATCACACCTATCACGCTGCGCTCCATAACAGCATCGTGGTCCATCTGTGGTGTCTTCACTTAATGTGTTTGTGTTTCTAGCTGTGTCTCATATGGTGTTACAACTAAAGTACCCAGGTCCAGTGTCCAATGCCCAGTCACGGTCACCATGATGCCTCTGCTTGGGGTCTAGCCCTTACCCCTGTGTGTGCTTAGATGGTAAAGGTGCTCAACTCCAATCCATTGAAATAGATTGACAATGACCTAAACCAACTAACTAACCTACAGACAACCCCCCAATAAATGTAAGAATGACAGCATACAGTACGAGATGTGCAGTGATGTTTTGATATCACTATTAAATAGACTAACTGGCCTACAGTTGGCTCTAACTGGCCATACACATTGCTTGGATTCTGAATGACTCTATAATGAACAAAAACTAGAGAAACAGGTACGCCTTTCAATATTAGCAAGGATCAGGCCTTTTCACTAAAGATGTGTTGGAGTAAACCAGCCTAAAGCTGAATAAGGTGATGGTAATCTCACTGAGAAGTTAGGGTGTTCTTTCGTAGGGGGAGTTAGATTACCAGGTGTCTCTAGAGGCAGAGCTGTCTGTCTATACCTCTTCTACTGTGGGAGGGTTGCTTTCCAACACACAGATAGGACTTTTTATTTTGGCCCTGCATGTAGGCTACACCGTGGATTGTTCACTCCAGGCTGTTTACTGTGAGGATTGTGTCTGTGGGTGCCCTTAGGCCAGATACCTATATTGGTGTTCTATGTGTAAAAGATAAAGATCTCTGGGGATTGTGTGGGGTTTGTGTGATCAAAACACACACAAGCAAACGTAGCCTAGTTCATCATCGCCCTCATTGTGCAAGGATGTGAACGCTTCCTTAGGAGGATGCTATCTTGGACAATGTGAAGACACACCAGACTGGATTAGATAGTTTTCCCTATCTCCTTCCAATTGTAGGCCTACACCAAACCCACATCCAATGTGGAAAATACCCATTTAAACTAAACATTACCAAACCAAGGTCATTATTTTAGGGTCTTGTGTTCCACTTCAGAGGTCATAGCAGTGGTTATTAAAAGTGAAATTGCATATGACTGTATATGATCAATATTCATCATGTAATCAGTCACAACCTTCAGCAGAAGAAGGCACCCGTAATGGTTGCTCATTAGAATGGAATGTATACAGTGTGTACACCTCCCCACCATGACCTTGGTGGGCTGGATGACATATCATTCACTTACTAATGTGTCCACCAACCCCTAACAACCTACAACACCAGGGCAGTGTTCAGTGGGGCACACTGCACAAAAAACATTTCGCAACAGTAACCGAAAATCAGTGTTCTTATTGGACAAGTTTTACTAACACCTCCCAGTTTTAAAAAAAAATGCAAAATGTTCACTCCCTACTGAACAAGACCCAGATCGCACCTCACAGCTCTACCATCAGATTAACATTTCCATCAGTGGAACCCATTCCCCCACACTCTTCCCACACATCGTTAGCGTCCATTACGAATGTGTGTGTTTGCCCAAATGTTTCTGCCAGCTCCTATGAATTACTGTGATTGTCCTGCTGCTAACAGTTAACAACCTCCATGTTTATGGTGATGTGGAACAGAGTGCCAAATGGCTGCTGCTGCCACTGGGTGGAATGGCTCTGAATCCTCTGAATGACCGAGGAGCGTTCACTTATGTTTACATTTGCTCTTATCAGTATTTTCATGCCACGCGAAAGAGCTTCGATGTCTAAGTAGATTGGCAATGGGTAGAGTGCCCATTGTGCCCTACAATCTCAACAGACCCCAGTCAGAATGTAATCTAAGTACACCAGCAACAATGTCCCTAATTTACTTCATGATTTAAAGTTGCTGGATTTACATCAGACAGGGTAGCTGTATTATCTCACACATGAATCATCCAACACATCTTCCTGTAGTTACATTACCCAGTAGTACATGGTGTGTGTGCTGTACCTCCCTCCAGAACTTGTACCAGAACAGGTTCCTGGGCCTGGCCGCCATGGCGTCGCCGTCGCGATGTGCCCAGAGTCGGCGGCGCTGCAAGGATGCTGGGGCACGTTACAGCTACAGCCCCGAGCAGTACCCCAACGGTGGGCCGCGGCATGACCACGCCACCGCCCTGGCCCTGCATCCCCGCTCCACCAGCGACGCTGACCTGGTCACCTCAGACAGCCGCTCCACGCTGACCGTCAGCACCTCCCACTACGCCATCGGCCAGTCCCAGGACATGCTCATCTGCTGGGACATCAAGGAGGAGGTGGATGCCGGAGACTGGATCGGCATGTACCTCATAGGTGGGTGGAGCTTCTGATGAGTCAATGGCATGAGTCAAGCCTACACCAGTTGTATTGGGCACATGTGACAAATACAATTTGATTGACAAATAAAACATTTCATATGACAATATCACTCTCAGCCAAACATCAGAATGATCGTCCAAACTTTGCCCATGATGACTAATCCCACTGGGCACAGAAGTCAATTCAACGTCTATTCCACGCGTTGGTTCAATGTAATTTCATTGAAATGATGTGGAAACAACGTTGATTCAACCAGTGTGTGCCCAGTGGGGTGTTTATAGCTTTTCCCAAATTACATTTGTCAAGTTCACAGAAAGCTTTGATTACAGTGAGCATGTAAAAGAATATAGAAGCTATAATATATACTGTAACATTGTGTATGATGTTCCTGTTCTTTTAGATGAGGTCCTGTCTGAGAACTTTCTGGACTATAAGAACCGAGGAGTGAACGGCTCCCACAAGGGCCAGATAGTGTGGAAGATTGATACCTGCTCCTACTTTGCAGATTGTAAGTAAACCTACCTCCTTTAAAATCACACTTTTAAATGTCGACAGGTCAACTGGTAGCAAATATTGTGAGACTGTTCCTGTTGTTTTATCACTACGTAGGATATTTGAAGTTCAGCATTGTAGCATATCCTGCATGTAGAGCATGTTGTTTATCCTTAGGAGAGTTGATAGCTAATTTCACCCCCCTCTATCAGTATTTACCTCACGAGCTCGGATGTCGCAAGCTGTTAGAATTATTCCATGAGGTGATTCTTTATTTATACTAATTAAAATGGTGCATCAGGCTACAGGCAGGCACTGAGGTTTCCGAGGGCTGCAGAAATCACAGTGAGTCAGACTCAAAAACCCACCGTCATTATCCAAATTTCTGTCCATATCTCATTCTCCAACCTGCCACCGCCTGCCGGGACGGATGTATTGATTTCTCTCTCCCTTGCTATTCATCTCCGACAGGGATATGACAACTAGCAGGACTAATGTCTGCTGCTCACATGGCAGCCTGCCTGATCTGTGGCTGGGACTGGGGATCAGTCCAAACAAACCGCCTTATCTACTGCCGAGGCTGCAGAAAGCCCAAGCCTAGAGAGAGATATCCTCACGCTCCCTGTGGAAAAGCCTGAAACTCCCCTGTGGTGGCAGAGCCCAATGACTGTGCTAGGAATGCTTAAATAAAGGGAGCCCATTTTTGTGTGACAAGCAGATAGTGAATTTTCGTTAGAGCCTCCCTTGGATACAAATGGGATGTGTTACGGAGTGAAATGGTACCCTATTAGTTAGGTGACAGAGGAGCAGGTGTGAGCTGTTCTCAGACTGAGACACACACACACACACACACACACACACACACACACACACACACACACACACACAGGGGAAGTCAAGTGGAGCGTTCAGAAAGTGGGCCTTTTCTGGTTGCTATTTCTTTTGCTCAGCTCTGATTTTCTGTTTTTAGAACACGTGTAGTAACTGCATAAGGAGACTGATTTAGCAGCACAAATTCACCTGGGACTCTCCACTCGTGAACACCCCCACCACCCACCTCATTGCCATCACAATGTGTGTTCTCTAGAGCGTGTTTCTCTCGCTCTGTCTCTCTCTCTCTATCTCTCTCTGTCTCTCTCTCTCCCTCTCTCCCTTTCTCTCGCTCACACACGATAGACAAGAATGCACTATCCTAAATTGATTTATTCTCCTATTATGTCAGCCGATGCCTCTTTAACCTACACTGGCTGTATCGCAACGATAGCAGTACAATTGATAGGAAAATTATCTGTTAAAATAATACAATGATGTTGAAGTGATTGACTTCCCTCATTGGATACAGTGGATTTTAGTCTGTCACAACAATGATGAACTGTAGTGCTCCATCTCTGCCATCCTCCTCCACCAACCTGATGATGATGTCAACAAAGGGATTAGGGTTGGATCATCCTGTCAGGAAGCCTGCCATCGTCTCAGTCACTACTATCCATCCCTCCCTCCATCCAATCCATCCCTCCATCCAATCCAGTGGGTCACAGGCAGGAAAAAAACGACTTTGTTGTGACGTGACCTTAATCTCACCTTCTCTCTTTTTCTCTCTGTCTTGTTATCCCTTATTCTCCCTCCCTCTTTCTCTCTATCTCAGTATGTCTCACTCTCTCTTGATTTTGACACACTCACTGGATGTAACGATTTTAGTAAAAAGTGTCGTCTGACGGTACAATTGGTTGCCATGCATTGAAACGTGTCAAGAAAAGGGCACTTAAAGTTAAAATCTCTCTCTCTCTCTCTCTCTCTCTCTCTCTCTCTCTCTCTCTCTCTCTCTCTCTCTCTCTCTCTCTCTCTCTCTCTCTCTCTCTCTCTCTCTCTGTTTCTTTCCCTCTCTCCTGCAGCGGAGACTAAGATCTGCTTCAAGTATTACCATGGTGTGAGCGGAGCACTGCGAGCCACCACACCCAGTGTAACGGTGAAGAATGCATCTGCCCCTGTGAGTGTCACCACAACACACCTTCGTCTTAACCCCTCCCCTCTGTCCTCCTCCCTAATGCTCCGGGTAGAGGTTAACCTATAGGCACAGATCTAGTAACCTTTAGCCACAGATTTTGTAACCTATAGGCACAGGTCTAGCACAGATCTAGGATCAACTTATGTTGTGGCGTTTCAAAAAAAGAGACATTTGATAAACCTATACAGACCATACTGTAGCTGCTGATATCAATGTATGTGAGAGCATATGCCAACAATGTAGCATCCCAACATAGGAGTCAAGTGAATTTCTATAATGGCAGTTGGTTTACATAGTAGTTGACTCTATAGTAGTCATGTCCTCATCGAGGGCTGGACTGCATCCAAAAACATACAAAGGAGAATTACTGCACAGAAACAGAGGGATTAGAAAGAACATGGAGAAAAGAGTGAGCAGAAGTCTTCTTTAATGAACGAGAGGTTGCGTGCAGACCTCCCTATCTCTCATCCACTTATCCTTAGCTGAATGGGAAGTTCAAGAGCTCTGTGGGCGGCCAGCCTCTTTCATCCGCTCCTTCTGTTGTTTTGGTTAGAAAACTTCATAATGTAAGGTTGTCCTTGCTGTATCCATCCCTCTTTTTTTGTATGCTGGGCTGAGATGCCCCCACCCACTTTTCGATTGAATGCATAGTGGAATTGTATAGTGTAATGACCATAGAGGTCCCGTAATTCATAGGATACATAATGAATAGATTCTATGTCATTCTACAGTATTGCAATGACTGTCTTACTGTGAAGTCTTTTGAGAGTTTAACTCTTTCTACCATCTGTCTATGGATTAGATGATCATGGACAGCTCCAGATTGACCTGGCTCTTACTGGTGGAGTTTCTCATTTCCTAAATGCCAGAGAGAGAGTTACCTTAATTAGCTTTCCACTGCATGGCACCTTTTATCCTTCATTGGGAATGAAGGTGAGTAGCTGTGGAGAGTTTGTGGAACACAGTTAACTACCACTTACAGCATTGTGCCCTGTTGAAGTGTGTTGAAGATGGGCTTTGAGTGCAAAGGCACTCCCTATTTATTAATGTTATGATGACAATGGGGGCGAATCCAAAATCACACCCTATTCCCTATAAAGTGCACTGCTTCTGGCAAATCTGTAAAGAAATATACAGTTGAAGTCGGAAGTTTACATACACTTAGGTTGAAGTCATTAAAACTCGTTTTTCAACCACTCCACACATTTCTTGTTAACGAACTATAGTTTTGGCAAGTCGGTTAGGACATCTACTTTGTGCATGAAACAAGTAATTTTTCCATCAATTGTTTACAGACAGATTATTTCACTTATAATTCACTATCACAATTCCAGTGGGTCAGAAGTTTACATACACTAAGTTGACTGTGCCTTTAAACAGCTTGGAAAATTCCAGAAAATGATGTCATGGCTTTAGAAGATTCTGATAGGCTAATTGACATAATTTGTAGGTGTACCTGTGGATGGATTTCAAGGCCTACCTTCAAACTCAGTGCCTCTTTGCTTGACATCATGGGAAAATGAAAAGAAATTAGCCAAGACCTCAGAAAAAAATGGTAGACCTCCACATGTCTGGTTCATCCTTGGGAGCAATTTCCACACTCCTGAAGGTACCACGTACATCTGTACAAACAATAGTACGCAAATATAAACACCATGGGACCACGCAGCTGTCATTCCGCTCAGGAAGGAGATGCTTTCTGTCTCCTAGAGATGAACGTACATTGGTGCGAAAAGTGCAAATCAATCCCAGAACAACAGCAAAGGACCTTGTGAAGATGCTGGAGGAAACAGGTACAAAAGTATCTATATCCACAGTAAAACGAGTCCTATATCGACATAACCTGAAAGGCCGCTCAGCAAGGAAGAAGCCACTGCTCCAAAACCGCCATAAAAAAGCCAGACTACGGTTTGCAACTGCACATGGGGACAAAGATCGTACTTTTTGGAGAAATGTCCTCTGGTCTGATGAAACAAAAATAGAACTGTTTGGCCATAATGACCATCGTTATGTTTGGAGGAAAAAGGGGGAGCTTGCAAGCCGAAGAACACCATCCCAACCGTGAAGCACAGGGGTGTCAGCATCATGCTGTGGGGGTGCTTTGCTGCAGGAGGGGCATCATGCTGTGGGGGTGCTTTGCTGCAGGAGGGACTGGTGCACTTCACTAAATAGATGGCATCATGAGGAAGGAAAATTATGTGGTTATATTGAAGCAACATCTCAAGACATCAGTCAGGAAGTTAAAGCTTGGTCGCAAATGGGTCTTCCAAATGGACAATGACCCCAAGCATACTTCCAAAGTTGTGGCAAAATGGCTTAAGGACAACAAAGTCAAGGTATTGGAGTGGCCATCACAAAGCCCTGACCTCAATCCTATAGAACATTTGTGGGCAGAACTGAAAAACTGTGTGCGAGCAAGGAGGCCTACGAACCTGACTCAGTTACACCAGCTCTGTCAGGAGGAATGGGCCAAAATTCACCCAAGTTATTGTGGGAAGCTTGTGGAAGGCTACCCAAAACGTTTGACCAAAGTTAGACAATTTAAAGGCAATGCTACCAAATACTAATTGAGTGTATGTAAACTTCTGACCCACTGGGAATGTGATGAAAGAAATAAAAGCTTAAATAAATAATTCTCTGTACTATTATTCTGACATTTCACATTCTTAAAATAAAGTGGTGATCCTAACTGACCTAAAACAGGGAATTATTACTAGGATTAAATGTCAGGAATTGTGAAAAACTGAGTTTAAATGTATTTGGCTAAGGTGTATGTAAACTTCCGACTTCAGCTGTATCTCTGTTTGTGTGTTTTTTACACAGTGTTGTGTTGTGTGTGTTGGCCAGTCATTGTGTGAGTCACTTCGACCGCATTGGCTTCTACCATCTCCTGTCCTTCTGCTTTGATTACATAAGCCCATAGACCTGCCGTTGCATACTTCTTCATTCAACATTGAACGTTGGTCCTGGCTGGTAGTGCAGTGTTTGACCTAAGCTAGGCTAGCTATAGTGTTACCGCGGCTGCCTGCCATTGTGCTGGCGTGGCCACCAGAAATGCTGATCACCCCTAAACCTGATCTGACTACTGTATTCCTGGTTTAAAATAACCTCACCTTGTCAGAGGGAGAGAGAAGGCTGAGGTGGTTGAGCTACAGGACACAGCACATCAAACGGACATGGGCGGAGGAAGGGGCCCTTAGCTTCAGTGCTTCACTACAGTACTGAAGCATGTCAGGCAGATAGATGATGGAGTGGACATGCTCGGCCGCTTTGGACCGATGAGGCAAAATTGTGTTTGTGTGTATGTGTGGACTGTTGAGGCAAAGTGTGTGTGTGTGTGTGGAGTGTGATTCATGGAGAGACAGCCAACAGCCGTGACTGATGATGTCTCCGAGATGCACTGAGAGGAGGAGGAGGAGGACTCTACTCACCTGGCTGGCCTGGGTAATAAATGGCCAGTTAATTTCTCTCTTCTTCTTGTATTTTCTTGTTCTCTCTTTCTCTACCTCTCACTCTCACCCTCTACCGCTAACTTTCTCTCTCTATTTCTCTCCTTCACTCGCTCTCTTTCTCACCCTCTCTCTCTCTCTTTCTCTCCTTCTCTTTCTCACCCTCTCTCTCTCTCTCTCTCTCTCTCTCTCTCTCTCTCCCCCCACTCTCTTCCTATGTGTGACAGTATCTGTTCTGTTAACTCCTGGTGGCGTTGCTCTATTCTGCCTGAGGGCACAACACTTGAAGTTTGAAGATGGTTGGCGCTCAGTGTATTAAAACATTTATATTCAGCGTAGGCGTCGTCTAAGTAGCTTGTGTCAATCTAGTAGTTAAATGATAGTATTTCTGTATCAAAAATGTATAAAGTAGTGTTCACTTTAACTGCAATGTGTTGTCTCTTGCACACTACCTCAGGATGTAGGAGAGGTGGCTGTTTAGTGAGATAAGGAGCCTGTAAAATCAGAGAAGCAGTGTGGAACTGTCCCCATCGTCTCTTGTGTTTCATCTCAGATCACACACACATACACACAGACACACAGACACACACACACACACACACACACACACACACACACACACACACACACACACACACACACACACACACACACACACACACACTGTGTTATCTGTGTTACTGGCTTGGCGTTTCCTCTCTAGAGACTCTCCTTCCAAGAATATGTGCTAGATTACAAATGTCTTGACTGAGAAACCCACAGCCATAATACTAAACAACACAATGTATGCTGACGTTCACAGAGCTGCGATGTAAACCTTATAACCAGTGCTTCCCATCCATCAGTGTACCCATACTGGTAAAATGCCAGAGCCCACAGGAGGGCCCAGACATATTGGGTCGCTGTTGTGGGCATCTGTATCTGCAGGGAGGGGATTTGATGTAGTGAATTGGGGGGGAAAGTAGAGCTTTATTTATCATCAGTGTCATCTGCCCATCACCGTCTGTGTGACTCTCTTTGCCTCGCTTCTCCAGATGGAGAGAGAAATGAACTGGGCCCTCTCTGCTCCCACTCTTTCAACACTCTCAAAGCCCTCTATTACATTAGAAAGGAGATTAAGTTATTTACAGAAATGAGTTTGGCTCAGATCTACCTCCATTGAATAGTTACTGTACAGTAGTATGTGACTCTTCATTCAGGAGAGGCAGGTAGAGGTGCTTGGTTCTCCCTCTGTCGTGTGATCGGCTATGGGAGTGTGTGTGGTTGTCTGCTCCTTCTGTGTCATGGATCTCGTTTTGAGGTGTAAATGTGTCTTGAAGCTAAGACTCTGTGTGTATGTGTATGTGTGTGTGTGTGTGTGTGCGCGTGCGTTCGTGCAGTGCACACACGTATCTATGTCAGCATAAAGTATATGTATGTATGTGTCTCCGTCCTCACTGTGTCCTGACTCTCTAGTCTAAGCTGTGCCATGCGTTGAGCTGACAGGACTGCTGTGTAAGCTTTTCACTCAGTGGGGCGCCAGCCTTAGCAGTCAGCAGAGCAGCCGCACTGCAGAGGAGAATCCCCCCTCTCCTCTTCTCACTCTCTTTCCCTCTGCCTTTGAATCTGACGGTGCCT